GCCACAGCTGGCCTGGGGCAGACTGACAGAAGTGAGGCTGCCATATTGCGCCATCAGCCCCTTTGGCCATCACCAGTAGGCGGTAGGTGAAGTGTCTTGCCCAAGGACACAACGACCAAGACAGACAGAGCTGGGGATCGAACTGGCAACCTTCCGGTTACAAGATGAACTTCCCAACCCCCTGTACCACGGTATGTTTATAACAAAATTATTTTTCAAAGGTTTTAGATTTTTCTCTTCCATTTTGTTGACTGGGTTTAAATTATTTTTTAGATTTAATAATGCATTAAGAAGTACAAAAATGTCTGCATTAATAAAGTCTGTCTCACCTTACAGTAACGGCATTGGTGGTCTTGACTTCAGTAACCAGCACTGATGGGTATTGCACTGAGGGAAGAACTAAAGAGGGAGGAACCACAGGACTCAGGACCTTCAGACCAGAAGGAAGAGGATGCCTTATACCCTGCTGGTTTTCTCGACCGTCTGTGGGTTTTATGTCTGCTCTGCTTGATTTGTAGAGGATGGCCTGATCACAGGAAAGAACGAAAACATAACCATTGTTAGAATCATTGTTGTTTTAACTGCAAACAATCACCATTTTCACCCCTACAGTTTCTGTATTACCCATCAGAACACCTACTGCTGTTTACTCAACTTATACGTCACCTACACTGCATCAATCTCTTACCTTCTTCTTGTCATGTGGCGAGGGGTACTCCACATTGCATATATCAAGCAAAAGAGACAAGTTGTCCAGCACATGCTCAGGGAATGGCACCTTGTATGTCTCCATAAAAAGTTTGGGCATAGCATGGGCCCACAGACCCTGGCTGTATTTGGAAAGGAGCTCCTTTATTTTCTGACGAACATCAGCTGAGACAGCACACGGTTTTGATGGAGGACATGGTGTAGAATTAGAAGTGGGATTGAATGTGACTTGTGTACAAGGGCTTTCAGGTCTTGAGGGACATGAAGAAAAATGTGTGCTGGTAGTGCTTAAATTGTTGGGCGATGCTTGCGGAGTGCTGGTGGTGCTCTTTAAAGGAACAGGATATTTCTTGTTAGGCAGAGGAGGGTAGACCAGCCGGTCGGCTCGGTTGGTGGAAAGTTCCTCTACCTTTGGAAGAAGATAAATGAGACACACAAAAAAGTGAAAATCTTAAATAAAGCCATTAAGCATACAATCAAAGACAGTAACACACCTCCAACTTACCCCCATCTCTAACACCCTTCTCTGTCATTCTAACCCTCTCCATGACCACCTTCACTAAATCCAGGAATCTTACATGTACTCCTGCCTGGCAGCTCCATTAAAAATCTTTGTCTAATAAATCCACTGTACCTCATTTGCACAATTCCAAACCATCTCAACCTTGCCTCAAACTTTGTCTCCTCAAACTTTGACTCATTTTTAATCTTGTCTATCCTGGTCATTCCCAGTGAAATTCTGAGCATCTTCAACTCTGCTACCTCCCTCTCATCTTATACGTGTGTATTCTGTCTTGCATCCAACTTTCTTCTTCACTCCAGTGCATACCTCCATCTTTCCAGACTCTCCTTCACCTGCTCGCTACTTTTACTACAGATTGCAATGTCATCTGTGAGCACCAAAGTCCAGGGAAACTCCTACTTGACCTCATCTGTCAACCTGCCCATCACCACTGCAAGCAAGAAGGGGCTCAGAGCTGATCCCTGATGTAATCCCATCCCCATCTTGAACCCATCGGTCACTCCCATTACACACCTCACCACCATTTCAGTGTCCACATACATATCCTATACCACCTCACATGCTTCTCCTTGCCACTCCTGACTCCTGACCTGACTAGCTGGCACCTTATCATATGCTTTCTCTACATCCACAGAGACACAGGGCCTGTCTCAATATGCGTACTTGTGCGTACTTGCGTTCTCGTGATACGTCATCAGTCGAAGACCAAGTACTGTTCCAATTCAAAGTACGCATCAAGCCGAGAACGCGAAAAAGTCCCGGATGTGTTCTCGCTCCGCCTGTTTTATCAAGCATGCATCGGTGGTAACTTGTGTGGACTTGGAACAGCTAAATATCCCAGAATGCATTTCGTCCAAAACTCAAACGCAGCAATGGTGGACGACCGGGGCTAAAAACTTTTAAATATTACTCTTTCTGGGTCACAAAATAAACTTAAGTTATTTTCAAGCTAGAATGTAGCTGTGTAAGCTTCAAATATCTGCTCGATTTATCAATATATCATATATTTCCAAACGTGCTCTGATGTTTTTGGAGACGTCTGTGACCCGCCAGCTCTATAGCAGATAGTGAGGTCGAGGATCACTAGAGCCGACGAGAGCAGCGGACTCCTGGCACATCATTTTCAACCCCCCCACGGTCTTTTCACTACTCAGGTTAAACAAACCCCAAACCCCAGCAGCTGTCTATTGTATTGAGTGTCCACTAAAATATAAATAAAAGCGTTCTAACATCTCACCTGCTTGTTTTTATTAAAAGATACATGTACACTATTTTTATTTTATTTCGCTACTGAGGTTAAACATGATATACAAGTCACTTAGATCACTTCTAAATGTTAGGTTTATTACAGTGTTTTATTTGTTCCTGAGTAAATCGGTTTGGCTGTGATTAAAGTTAAGCTTCATAGCATATTACTCACAGTTAAATTAAGAGGGGACGGCAGTAAAAACTCCGGACCTGTGACATCATCAAGTACGCTGGTGTTCCAATTGTACAAATCGTGAGTCCGTGCTCACGTTCTCGGCAAGTCCGTACTCCCATGCGGTCTTGGCAAGTCTGGCCTCCCCGAGAACGCGAGTGCGTACTCAGAATTGAGAAAAGGCCACAGTGAAGCTCCTTCTAGTGCACTCTTCTGGCAGGAAGCCATACTGCTGCTCATTGACTGCCACCTCTCTTAAGCTAGCTTCAACAACTCTGAGGCATAGCATTACTTTTTCCTTTGCTATAGGTCTGAAAACTAGTACTGGTAACGATTTCAACTAAAAATACTATCACTTCCTAAGAGTTTGTTAAAAAAACAAAAAACAAAAACTTGACTAAAAGTACTTTTTTTAAAAGGCATCACGATACGTCCACAACCACCCTTACTAACCCTTTTTTGGCATTTTAAACTACAAGTTTTCAAAATAATTGATTCTGAGACTGCAGAACTGAGTGTGAAATTGAAAACTGTCACTGGGTTTACAACCTAATATAAAACAAGACATTAAAAAGAACAAAAAAACCCAAAATACTCAACTTACCATACACACGTGTGTCCACTTTACCATGTCCCTGAGCACCTGAGGATGGAGGTTCCGACTGAACGTATCACAATAGAGTTCTGAGAGTTTTGACATCCACAGTCCACTGTAGTACTTCTCCAGGAGCTGACTTATTTGACTCTGCACCAGCTCCACGTCATACTCACTATCCTGCATGGAGGGATTTGAACGATCATGTGTTGCATTGCCACCTATGGGTTAAAACTTTCTACTATACCATATTATCAAAACTATGCAAAAGTTATTTTCTTAAACAGAAAGCATCGGATGTGACTTCAGTGATCAAATAGTTTAACTGAAATAGTAGAAATATGGATTCTAAGTGTATGTATTAAGAAGTATTAAGATTGTCCTGACCATCTAAAGAGCACTTTATATTCTAATATTGACAAAATTAACAGCAACAGACCGTACCTGGGATTGGCTGGGCATAGATACTCTCTGTAGGTTCACTTCTGAAAAATGTTTGAAAAGATAGAAATTAAGTAAATACACTTTGATACAAGCCAGTCTCAAAAGCAGAGCACTGCTGTTTGTTGTTAATCTTTATACATATGCTGTATTAACTTCTTAAATCAATCATGAGCACTAGAGCAAAACTTTGTTTCAGATCCTATGATTATTGTGACCATGTATTGTTCTGAGCACTATAGCTGATAAAAAGTCAAACACTTCAATATGGTGCTGGTTAAACTGTCATCTGTGCAGCTGATTACAAGAGTGATATATTGTGATGCTGCACAGCCAAATTCACTTTAACAAGCTTGGTACTGTTTGTACTTTTCTTTAGTAAAAGCAAATATATGCAAAAGCACTATATTTGTGTAACTCTTGTTATACTCGGATTCAACTTAGAAAGTTGTGCTATGAGAAGAAGAAAAAAGAAAAAAAGAAAGAAAAATCTCAAATACCTTTGGAGTTCAGCAAGTTCTTCTCTTTCCTGTTAGCAACATAGATATCTTAAAGCACAATGTGATTTCATAACAATAAGCTGTCACTCAACAGTGATATTGTTTTTCATTCAATAGTAAGCTAAATAACTTGGCCTGGTGTCTCACTCAAATGTTTCTCAATTATTCTTTTCTTGGTTTTGTCACATTTTCAAAGCCATCAAATCTGACTTTAATGCTGATATAAGATTACTTGGGTCATGTTTTAGTTTAAACTAATATTATAACTGGAGTAAGGACACAGACTTTTGCATTCATGTAGCTATGATTCTTAAAGGCTATACATACTAAAATTACACAGTACATTTTTTTGAGGAGAGCTTGAGCTTAATTTGCCCACAAGTGTATCTTCACCTGTTAAGTGTAACACATGCTGGTTTTAAAGCTGGTTGAGGAGCTGGTTGTCTGTGTTCAACTGGTGTGATGGAGCTTAAACCTTGGTCCAACTTCCTAGCATTTGAGAAGAGTATGACAGAGTGTGACAAAGAATTTCTGCAAAGCTGAAATTACAGTTACATAAAGCTATTGTCTAACTATTGCTTATAATTCCTTGAATAAATAAATAAAGCAGATATTATTTACCTGTAGTCCCCTGAGGCACTGAAAACTCTATAGCCACCATAGGTCCAAGAACGGTTTTTTGGTGAATAACATTTACTATGGACTGAAGGTTGGCGGAGTGAAGTCCTTGGCCTCACTAAAACCAAGGAAAGAAAAACAAACCATATAAATAATGACCAATGTTTCCCCACAGATACAGTGTATGAAAACCTGCCCAATCATTATGACATTAATCTTTTTTTTTTTCTCTGTCTAAGACGAGACCATGATTAATTAGTTGTTCCAACTAAGAAACACCTCCTACCATTGAGCATGTATGAGGTGGGAGGCTTGAATCTCATCTTGCAGTTCACAATCTGGGAGCGACCAGATTTCTTCGAGGTTTTCTGCCTGGCAACCAATTGAGCAATGTTGGCAGTCTCCTCATACACTGCAGCTAAGCACTGTAACTAAGGTAAAGATTAATACAAATTTGTTTAATAAAAATGTCTAGCAGTTATAAGTCTCCCAGTTCTTTGATGTTTGATGAGGCAGTAGTGTAGAGGGAAAACAGTTTTTAAACAATACACTCACCTGACCCATGCGGTACTCAAGTTTCACAACGGAGGGAATGCTTCTGAGGTAGTCCTCGAGCTTTGAGAAGCCCAGCTTCTCCAGTGGGATGTTCTCTCCACACAGTGACCGGTACTCTGACTGAAGGTTGTCAATTGACACACCGTCTTTGCTGGACTGGAGGACAGCCCGCAATATCCTCTTGACGAACTCAGCATCTGCCATCTTGGCAAACTAAGACTTGTACAGAACTGAGAAAAACAGAAAGCAAAACATGTTCTTAAAAAAAACAAAAAAAAAACCAAACATAACATTGTAACAAAAAGGTGAGCTTCGACAGCACATTTCTTATTTTCAAAGAGCTCTGATATATTTTACAGTTTGGATACTTTAAAAATCTACAAATCTTTGGTCCCCAAGTTAACATACCAACACGTTTGGGGAACACTCATTATGTCCGAAATCTTTTTTTTTCTCCACTCAGGTTCATGAATTTAGCCTGTAAAGAAAGTCACAGAAGTGACCAAAGATTAGGTAGGAGTTTCAGGTGTCAAAAACCTCACCAATAAGTTTGGTGTGTGAGATTTTGGTATACCGCGTTTGTATCATTGATGCAAAGAGCAAAATCTCAGTGCGTCATTACTGGACTCCTTTTTAATCCTCATGGAGAAAAATGGCGCAAAACGCGGGAGTTGGCTAACGGCTAACTGTTAGTACAAAGTAGCTCGTTCGGAGGTCGGAAACAGTCCTTCATTTCGGCCCACAGTTGACATAAACCATAAACCAGCGAAAAAACATCTATATTGCGCAATTAACATCAACTTAAATTTGGTAATTTTATCGACAGGGAGACGGTTAAAAGTTAATAGTACCTGCACCTGTTTGGAGTCGATAACCAAACGCCTGGAAACTCTTCTCTCGCGAACTCAAAATCTCGCGCACGCCCACAACTCCCAGTAGTTAATTATCGTGAATAGCACAATTTTGAACCGCCTCATATACGTTTAAACATTACGTCGCTTTTTTAAAATTTGTCTCGTAAACATTTAACTAGCTAACACATATTTTCTTACATCACACAAAAAAGGTTTAATAATTTTTTTTTGAAAAGATGCTTTTAAGTGTTGTGGAAAATTTAAACTTTTATCGCAAAAAAAGACTATTTCACTATTCTCAAAGCAAATGTTTCTTGTAAATTTATTATTAGTATGCTGTTTTGCATCATTCATACAATATACCAGTAATTTTGCATCTGGTATAATTGTTCAAAAGTATTAATCCAAATAACATCAACTCTAGGATTTCTGGTATCATTTTATTAATTTGTATTTTGATTTTATTTTCAGCTGACAACCTACACTGGCCTTTCTATATATGTACTACTATAAAAAAAATTGTATGAATGCTCACTATTAAACACAACCAGACATTTAAGGAAAAAGTAGTGTTTATTAGCAGTTAGATTTTATGCTGCCAAGACAAAATAAAAATAACAAGCACAATAGCTGTGTAGTGTAGGTCAAGTAACTGTATGGCCAGCTCCAACTCGAGATGTTATAGAGGTTGTGACAATATACAAAGGTTTGTTTATCCTTGCATTTATACATTTATATTTTTTTCATTTGCCTTCACAGCAGATGCTTTCATTCTGAGTCAGGGAAAGAGATGGCATGAACTCATATTTGAATTCTTATGCCAAGTCTGAGTAAAAACTATGTATTTGTGAAAAACAATACACACATAAAACCCACAGACCCTAGGCCACAGAATTCAATTAAAAAGAAGTACATTCACTAACTAGCAAATTAGTGAAGTTGTTTTAAACTTATTTATGGCACTCTCAGCTGGTGACATAACAGGTAGTGAGATTAGGTTAGTCAGATGGCAGTGCTGAAAAACTTCCTTCTGCTTTATAGCAAGTCTCCATTAAAGGTCTTCGTCATTCATTGGATTCCAGCTTATATTTTTTTAAAGAACCGGAATCAAATGTGTTATTAACAGTCTTCTTCTGGTGACAATTTGATCTCTGGTGGCAGCTTTGACAATGCCTGTTGCCTCTGTGTTTGAGATGCCAAAATCCAAGCCTGCAGCACTGTGTCTGCTGGGGGAGATGATGAGGAGAGGTGGTGCTTTCTTAGCATGATCAGGGGAGGGTTCCTTAGTAATGTGTAAAGCAAAGCCCAACGCCTCCTGGCCCGACTGTTCACAGGGGGTTCTGAACAAATGGAAAGTGATAATAAAACAGAAGTTTGAGAAAGATTAGATGACAGAAAGGTCAAAGCAGTATAAAGGTGTCTATAAATGGAAGAGACACACAGACACACCACTGACCTGACACATTATTGTCGAATGTGGAGTAAGCAGATGAATTGTGTCTCTGCAGCGTACTTGACACCAGCATCTGACAGAAAGATACCAGGACTGGGTTGTTGTGATAATGGTCAGCAAAGATCATCCCAATCCATGTAGTGTAGCCTGGATAAAAGGGGAAATACAATTATCACTATTCAGAGATACAAATTCACACACCATCAGACAGGGTATTGCAGTAACATAAGAACAAATGAGCACAAAGCTGTCATTTTTACACGTTTTTTACATGTTTTATTGTGAAATAACATCTTTTTTTGTTGTTGTTGTTTTTTTTACTAGCTTTAATCAATATTTGACTGATACCAATATTTGCCTTGAGACAAAGTAACTTGTAATTCTCATTGAAATGCTGCCATCTCGTGGATGCATCTGAATGTGGTCTTCTGGACATCAAATAATATGAATGATAAAATTATTTTTTATTATTACTGCAGTATATTAAAAATACCAAAGAGTTTAGGTTTGGCTGTGATCTTTTTTTCTTAACTATATGTTTTTAGTTGAATCTAAGCTTACCAGCATCCATGTTCTCATACCCCCTCTGCATAATAGTTCGGTCTATGCGAGACACCAACCATGTTCCCACCACAATGCTTAAAAGAAGCCTCAGTATGCAGGTGCTCATCCCCATAACCACGTTGTAGAAAAAGAAGAAGTAGTTGAAGCAGTGAAATGCCTTCCTAAAAAGGGGGAAATTGTGATTTCAAGTTAATGTGCTTTGAGTTAAATCCTTGTGTCTTATTAATATTTGAAAAATAATTGTTAAGTGATGTTAGTATTGGAAATCAATATATATCTATTAACTATTAACTATAATTCTTTATGACTCTGGTGGTCATCTGGTTGCTTGTGAATATGCAAATCTCCTTTAAAAAGTGCCAATAATGCTTTCATACTACTTTAAATATTTTGTGTCTGCTATCTAATGAGCCACTTACTGAGTATGTGAGATTTACGAGAGATTTTTGGATTTTTAAAATGTGGGTTAGTGAAATTACATCAGCCTTTTGGCATTTTTCTACCACGACTAATTGCTGCCAAATGAAAGATCTGAGTGTTGGTGTGACTCAAGAACACACTTTATATGAGATACACCTACCTGTTGTTGAGGGCTAGAGGTTTCTCTTTGTCTGTGGCATCTATTTTGTTCTGAAGGAAGAAGATCTGAACCAAAATTATTTGAAGAATCACCAGGCTAATTACAATGCAGATGGTCAGACTAAAAGAGACACAGAAAAACATTAAAGGTCAGCCAGAGTGCACATTAATTTATATATGTAATCATAGCAACACAGTTATAGAAAGAAAAAACAGCCTTACAATATAGTTCCCAGTGTGGAGAGCATGCTAAGCACTTTCCCATTCATTATAGGAAGAACCACCACGTAAGCAATCAGCAAAGCAAACAGGAAGTAGACAAAATGGACAATCAGGTAGCCTAAAAAAAAAGCAGAAATAATTAACAACTGTAAAAATATTTTCCTTATAATAGCTGCCTGTATAATAAGTCAGACAGCTTTTCTGTGATTAATTTCAACTATTGGCATAGATTACATCTACATAGATTTGCATTTTGATGAAATCTATTGTATGAAAATGATTCTTAAGATTTGGTTCTCAAGTCCTAATACAGGATGTCCTATGTAGATCAGGCCAGTTGTCCTTGTTTTGAAAGTTTACGGTAAGAAAAGCTTACCCCACAGTGTGAAAGCGATTTGCCAGCCCGAGTATCTTGCAATGGAAGCCTGGTAAAATTCATGGCACAAACATTTTTGTGTACTTTGTTAAGAATGCAATAATTTAAAATCACTTCAGCTCTACAGTATGTGTGTTTGCATCCAAGTGTTTTGCTTACCACACTCGTAGCAGATCTAGGCTTATGAAACTTCTCAGGAAGAAAGACTTTCTGTCCTTTCCAGAGCCTCCTTAAGTGTTTCCTAATGCAAAAGTAAGCTCATTAAATTACAGACAAATTCAGATCTGTTTGTCTGCTTGCTGGTAGTAGAAATGGTAGTCTTGCTGTAAACTAAATATAGCTAACAGTCATTATACCCGTTTCTTAAATTTCTTACCTGTAACATGCCAAAACATGGAAGGTGTAGGCAACAGAGTTAAGACTGGCAAAGATGGTGGTGGCTAGCCAGGATTCTTAAATAAACAAACAAACATAAATGCAAACATGCATAACTTTATATTACTGTATATTACTTTGTATTCTTATAAATGGCAATGACCATTGTGTTCCTAATATTTAACAAAAATATTATTCAATTTTCTAATACAGGTTTATTTGGTAATTCCTACTGGCAATATTAACTCTCGAAACAGCAGGAAATAAAATGTGTCTGATATCCACTTTACACATAATATGTGATATTAATCACAGGGTTCATAAATGCCCCCCCTTTAAAAGTCTGAAGGAACAACTTACTCCTGGCCACGACGATAAATTCTTCCAGCTGTGGTACCATGTATCCCAGGGATTCTGTCTCGTTACATGCAGTAACCACATCTTTCAGTGTATTTTTCCAAGTTTCAATTTTGTCAAAAGTAGAACTACTGACACTGTAGTCTGCTAGTGTCATCTAAAGGAATGGAAAAGACAAATAAATATAGGAGTCCCCACAGAAGAAGCATAAATCATTTAAATAACACCAAACAAAGGGAATCAATTAGACGATTCAAGAAAATCATAAAATATACTTTTCCGTACCGTATATAGGCCTATTAGGGATATTACAACAGTGCCAATGATTCTGCTGGGAAACTTGAAGTAGGGGTCCCACTCATAAACTCTCCTTTGGAACCAGGTAAGTGGCATACTGCAACACAAAGATGGATTAAAAGTTTAAATTTGTCCTGTTCTTAGGTTCAATAGCAGCTGCAGCATTTTTTTAACAGCACTGAAAATTCTCTACAGAACTGTGGCACGTGTGATTTTCAATTAGCTGGATTGTTAACTCTCACATTTTTGATACTAAAACCTTTTGAAATGGCTTGAACACACCAGACTGGACTTTAAATCAGTCTGAAGCTCGGTTTCTATAAAATGCAATCATTAAAACTTAACATCCAATGTTGAGTCACATTTTATATTAGAATGAAACTAGGATGCCCTGAAGATTTGTAAAAATACATAAAAATTCAGGAAATCTCAAATATCTTTCCCTGCTTGGCTTCTCATGTCTTTGTCTAGTCTAACTCTAACCCTCTGAGAGTCTCTCAGTCTTGTTCTCTAAAACTTAAAGAATTATGAATTTGATCAACTGGTCCCTTAAAGAAATTGACACCCCATTGAGAAGCTTGGGCTCAGGAGAGCTTCTCAATTGTCCTGCAGAAGTTTGCTGATGGATACTTGATGGTCGGTTGCGTTGTGTGCCTGGTGACACTCTCGATGAAGGAGATTGAACGACATCTACCTACTCGGAACCATGATAACAGAGTTCTGGCTGATCAGACCTGGTTTATCGAAGAACAAAGGAAGAGGTTACAGCTGTTCAAAACCCCACAAGGCTGGCCGACATGACTGATGATGGGCAAGCCATGAGTACTCAGACTGTGTTTATTGAACACAATATGGATAAGATCTTGGAGAAGCTCACAGCTCTTCAGTGGGAATTGATAGACTTGGTGACCAGTAACTTATTAGACCAACTGCGAAACTGGAAGGCAGTTGTTCACAGTCTATGCAATGAGGGGGGATGTCTATTCTGTTCTCTACTTTGTTCTCAAACTGATCTCACTTTAGGAGCTCAGTATCAGTATGGGTGGAGTTCCTTTTTCTCCTCCATTGTTCTACCTCTCTGACCTGTCTTCCCCATGTGATTTCTGTGTAATGTCTGTACGGGAGGAAGGGTAAGATGGTGCTGGTTGCCGGCAGCCTTAAACCAATTTCATTCGTGTACATGAGTGGGTGTATTTACCTATGTCCGGGTGTCTTTCGCAGCAGTCTCTTAACATGCTGAACCTGGTGTCGCTCAGTTAGCTCTGCAGAGTCCTGGCAACAGATTCAGACGTTTATACTCAGACAAAATTCACTATATTCATAAAAAATTGTAACTTTCTAATCTATTATGAAATTTTTTTTTATTAAGATAGCAACTGACATCGACTTCAACCAAGGCAGCTACTATCTGGGTAGTATTCATTTTATTATCTTTGTTTTTTTAATGTATGAATTTTGTTTTCTTTGTTCTTTTTTTTTTTTTAAATGTAAGGAAGTTTGTACTGCAGGCTATTGTTGTTTGCCCTGAAGCCCATTTCAATAGAGAATACCTGACATAATTTTTTATTGTAATTATTTTTAGTAAAACGTGTATGTGTGTTGAAAATACAAACTACACTGGTAAGAATAATAGTTTGTGTGATGAGGTAATGAGACTTTTTGTCCATTTTTAACCAATAAATCATTAAGTTCAACTTGAAGACCTTGGTGAATGTAAATCTAATTTTAATGTAATGTTAACACATCCCCACTCTACACCCTTACAAAGTTTTATCAGAATATAAAAAATATTTGAGCTATTGTGTTCACAGGCAGAATGGGGCACATGCACACAAACCTGCTACCAACAACATAATATTCTTGATGGCAGTAATGACGTTATGTTTTACACGTATTTAGTAGGAATCATCACAATCCATGTATTGGTATTTCTGACCTCTTGTTCCATGTGCAGGCGTATTCGAATAGCTTTGACCAGGATGTAAATAAATCGCCCGAAGAGGAAGATGAGGGAGAGCATACGGGGCCACTGGGAAATCACCTTCTGGTATTTACCCAGTATCTTTAAAACCATAAACACAGACAATCATAAATGCACTAGGCAACTTTATAGCTAAATGTTCAGCAGAGTTGAATGTTTTTAATTAACATGGGTCGAATATTATGAAAGCTTGATGGACGGTACATTGCTGGGTTTCTTACCTTACCACTGGGACAAGTGACTGTTTCCCAGGCTGTAATTCCTATCCTACAACATAAAAACACAAATATGTAATACGGTTTTTAATAAAATTAAATCACCCACACATCAACCAGTTAATCCATCTATTTAATCTCCAACTTTTTTATTATATTTTGTGTTTTTAGTTCCTTTTTTAAATTAACCATTAGTTTATTTTTGTTTTAGTTTTTGAGAAGCTTTAAATGATGTTGTAAAACATGCATACATAGACTATGTCTGAATATTTACCAAAATAGAGAGTAGAGTATTCCCAGCACTGCCCCTGTCATTCTGAATGGTGTGGACAGACAGGCAAAGAAAGGCAAATACACCAAGCCCACTTCTAAAGCTCCAATCAGGTACACAAAAGCTGAGGATAACAGTCAGAACAGTGTATCTGTCAACACAATTCTTGGAAACTCTACAGTAAAAAAGTAAGAGGATAATTTGCGCAACATCTCTAAAATTAGAAATATCCTGTCTCAGAGTGATGCTGAAAAACTAGTTCATGCATTTATTACTTCCAGGCTGGACTACTGCAATTCATTATTATCAGGATGTCCCAAAAACTCACTGAAAAGCCTTCAGCTAATCCAAAATGCTGCAGCAAGAGTACTGACAGGGACTAGAAAGAGAGAGCATATTTCTCCTGTTTTGGCTTCCCTTCATTGGCTTCCTGTTAAATCCAGAATTGAATTCAAAACCCTGCTCCTCACATACAAGGTCTTAAATAATCAGGCCCTATCTTATCTTAATGACCTTGTAGTACCACATCACCCTATTAGAGCACTTCGCTCTCGCTCTGCAGGCCTACTTGTTGTTCTCTGTATCTATGAAGCGCCTTGAGACGACTTTTGTTGTGATTTGGCGCTATATAAATAAAATTGAATTGAATTGAATAACAACGTACCTCTGGCCCAGGATGGAACAGTGAACGGGACGTAGTTTTCAGAGAACAGGAGCAAGACGCTGCTTGATACGGCCCCAAAAGCAAAGCCATAAGACCAACGATTGCTGAGGCTGCCTACAGTATCCAAAGGGCTGAGGCACAATGATTAATAGAAAAACAACCATAAGTACAGAAAAAGCCATAGTGATGCTGTAGTCATACATTACAGACACAAGTAAATGATTCTTAAAGGATGTCAGTGAAACTTAGTAGGGGATAACCCAAAAAGTTGATTCTGGTCATCTGGACGTAGCGTTTTCAGTAGGACAACGGTTTCGTCACCCATCCAAGTGACTTCCTTGGTCTCAGCTGAATGCAGGTTTCCCCGACATTATAAACAGTGGTTCTGCATAATGACTGAAACTAACACTACTGACAAACAACGGGCGGACGAGTAATTGTTCCCATTGTTCCTCAGTGGTGCTGGTTTCAGTCATGAGAGGGAGAGTGACGAAAACTTTCTCCCACTGAAAACGAAGAACAAAATCTACTTTCTGAGAATTCCTTACCTAGATGATTACGTAATTCATTAATTTTTACACTAATACATTAGTTTAAAACTACAAACTTATGACTGATATTGTATAATAAAAGATAAGACACTGACTTGAGGACCCATCTGTTGTTACTACTCCTGTCGACTTACACAACTATAGCAAAACGTCGATCTAGGAATGGCAGTCTGTCGTCGATGGCCAGCCTCTGGGCTCGTTTCTGAAGGAATGACAGCACCCCTGCAATCAACACCTGGATGAAAAGATATCACATCATAAATACTATAATAAATAATAATGTCACGTTCGCAACTGTGTGAACAAGGAAATAGGGTGAGCATATGGATCTCTTATAAAGGCTTTATTTGATCCTTATATATTGCTGCACCAGTCAGTGCTGCTCACTTATTGTGGCAGCAGTTTTTTTGTATGTTGCTATGCTGTTACCCTGCATTCCCAGTAGCACTGCGCTATTGCTACTCATAATCCTTGGTTACACAATACTATGCAAAAGTTTAGAGTCACCCCAGACTTTCTTTTATTTTTTTAATGTTGTCTTCAGTAAAAGTGACTAAAGTTACCATTCAAAGTTAGAGTGCTAAGTTTTCTGTTGTGAGCACACACAACACTTATTCATTTCTTGAGTTAGGTGACAGTTTTTGGCTTGTATTTCTGGCCACTGTTGGGTGGAATAGTAAATATAATATATTTTTTTGATAACGTAGTAATTTAACACATTACTTGCGTTACAAATGTTTTTCAATTCTCTACAAAAAAAGTTAGTAATAAAAAAAACACCCCACCACGGATAATAGACATCTTTTGAATAAAACAGGCCTGGCTGAAATTAAGTTGGGACACTACATACTTGAGTTGTTCAAATACAAAACAAATTTCAATTATTAAGGGAATTTCTGAAACTCTGCATTATTAATATGGTCTTAATATAGGCAGTGTTGTAGTTGACCATGTCTAAGATGCAGTTTTAATGAATGAATAGCTTACTGCTGGTATGAGTGAAAGATGCAAGATTAAAGACACTCTTTGGTGACAATCCTCATCCGGGGAGACCCTGGAGAAACAACGGTACTATGAACACAATGTAACATAATGCACTGTAACACATGACAAATTAAGGAACACCTAGTTTGTTCCCCTTTGTTCTGCTGAGTACAAATTAATTTGATAGACTAAAAAGACACCAACAGGACAGAGCCTATTTAAACTAAAGTGCTGATCTGAGTGGAACAAGCCTCGCAAAACCTTACCAAAGCTTTACTTACTAAATCAGATAGAGATAAAAGAGCATTTAATAAAAAGGGTTCATAGTGCACTGATAAAGTCAGTTCAAGTTCTGTCCCTGTGTCTTTGTTTCAAACTCCTAGAATCAGTTTGTAAACTCGAACTGCGCCAACAATATACAGCTGATTATAGCAAAGTAAAGATCTGTAATGTAACACATTTAACATTTAGTGTTTAAAGTTTGTACTCACTCATGTTCCAGCAAGTTTCGAATCATCTTTCAATAAGTTGGTTCATTACTGTCCAGAAAGCTTTGTTTCTGCTGTGCTGTAAAGATAAAGCAGGCTGTGGAGTGATCCCACTTCTCCTTTTCCTGGTTTTAGTCATGTGACTAATATGAAGTTGACCTTTGACCTCAGGACTCAACACTTTTATAACTCTGCTGTTTTACTGTCCTCTGTGTTTTTTCTTTTTTCGTTTGCTCTCGTTCTTTGTCTGTCCAGTCCTTCCTCTTTCTGTCACTCTTTCTGCCACACACATACACTATCGACCACTGTGTTACTCAGTGAAAGGAGTGTAAACAGTCAGCTCACCCAGTTAGATAACCAAGTGTTCATTCACCTTGTGTCTTGACTTTACAAAGGAATGTTACACTGATTCCTGTCTCTAAATAACAAATCTCTCTCTTTTCTTCCCCATGTTCTATTCAGCATTGTCTTCAGGGAAACATTTGTTTAGTGCCTTTAGTTATTTGATCTTTCGTCGATGTTTCGCCCTCCTTATTATTGTCTGCTTTGGTGAAATGTGAATTTGGTGGATAACAAAAGAAAATACCCCAAGCACACTGTTGAATGATATTTATTGATTGCGGTAAGTATTTAAAACAGTTGGAATCATTTCACTTGATTCTGATTGGGCCCTTGACAGTGACATCACCAGGTGTGGAGGTCAGCAGCTCTGCTCTTTGACAATCATAATGTCCATCTTCGTTGATCTGATAAGAAAATAATAACGACATGACTGGGATGATTTATGTCAGATACCTTTTAGTTTAACATATGATAAAGATTGAAAATGAGGTCATGTTAACCACAGGTCACATTTCATCTGTGAACAGAGATAAAATGTGTCAGGAGTTACCGGATCATGAACAGACAGAAAGAGGGAGAAACAGAGACAGAGATCTTTTTTAAAAGAATGACATCATCCTAAAATAGCATTACTTTCCTGTAGCTAAACCTGTCTGTCATTTGAGGAAGATTTAAGCCTATATAAGCCAAGATAATGTTTTATTTTATTCATTATCTGATAATAAAAAAAAAAAACCTGTAAGGATTTTATCTTATCTTAATCCTATCTTCTATAGTTTTGTCAGTATTTTTTTTTTTGGCAATATTGAATAAGAGCATTGCTGCTAAATTACCTGTTCAAATGTAGAACTTTATAATTTCCCATGACATAACTATTACTTTCCTAAAAAATCACTAACATCTACATGCTTATTACTGTAAAAGTGAATCAAGACTGAACTGGAAAGCTTCATTATTTGAATCATGAAGCAATTATTTGTCTAATTTTTAATTTTTTACAAACAGAGGGATGTGCAAGTATTATATCCTCCTCAATGCAGGCTTGGGTGATGTTGAAGCAATGTGTGAATACTGGGAGTGTAGAGCAGCTGTGTGTACTCACTGTCTCTGGGCACACAGCTGACACTCATTTGCATAAGTGTTTCCATCGCTGCCACATACAGGAGAGAGGTTCAAAGGACACGCCACAATCTCTGCCGTGTCAGGACAAGTAGGCTGGCAGAAAGGTAAACATTTGTCATTTATATTCTATAATAGATACAATAATACTAACAACATTTCAGCAACAAAGTTGTAGCTTCAGTTAAAACAAATCCAATCCCCGAAAGTACTCAAATATAAAGTTTCTATTTAAAAATATGTCACCTTTCTCATGAGTCCAGACCTCTCTTCTGCACCTTAAAAAAGCCCAAAGAAAACTTTTAAAAAATTATATTAAAAATAGTTCATATAATAGTTAAGAAATAAAGAAAGGCCAAAAAAATAATTTGGCCTTCAAAGAAGTAACTACACTGATTCAAACTGTGCACTAGAATGAGAAACTACTACTACTGTATTGTTAATATGTAAAATGTTCACTAAGTGTATGAGTGCATAGAATTTAATAACTAAAGTAAAACTGACACACCTGACATAACAGCCCCATATTGCAAAATGCGTATGCATATGTAACTAAGTATTCTGTATTTCCTATTTATAATGAAGTCAACTTAATTATACTTTACAGATATTTTTTCTGTGACATTTGACTGTTGTTTTTGGTGATCAGTGTTGAAGTGCATAAACCCTTCAACTCAGTGTTGTAAAACAAAACTTCATTATGTCAGTGTGCTTCTACAACTGCAGCTGCTCCCCAAACTAACTAACCCCGATCTAACACAAATATAATTTCATTTAAAAGTACCCCACATACAGAAGAATGATTGTTTGTTTAGAATAGAGGGCTTTTCTTTGTTACCTGCAGTCACACAGATGAGCAGAAGTCCCAGAAAAACAACTCTCCCGATCATGATGTTGGTGGATGAATAACTGACAGGAACCCGTGAGTATGCTTCTCTTTTTAAAGGCAAATAAAATGTGTGTGTGGTGGGTGTGTATACGTGTGTGGGAACACAGCAGATGAAAATGGACACACAGACGCATGAAATCTCTAGAAACTTAGTCACCAGCACACATTAACCCACACACCCAAACATAAACTGATCTTTTGTTCATCCAGTAGCTACAAACTTCCATGTGACAAGCCCACCCTTTTTTTCTTTTTTTAATCTAGCACACAGATACTGTGAAAGCAAAGTCAAAGTAATCACATCATGAGCCTTTTTTTTTTTTTGAAAATGTATGAATTTATTAATGTAAAGAATAACTATACACAATGGGTAACAACCACAAACGGCCATAATACTTAAAAATGTAAACAAATAATAATATTGAGCATGAGAAGAGAAAAATCCCTACCTTAGTACTGTCTCACTCTCTCGTTAACTTGCTACTATCTCTGCTTTTGACTATTTCACTCATTTCTCGCGATCACATGTAAGCCTATTCTCTATTTCAAGTTTCAAACAAATCCTTTTATGCAGTGGATTAACTTTGTTTTGTCTGTATTCCAGTGCAGAGATTTGTTTTTACATGTCTCTTTTGCCATGATTTCCACTTTAAAATAGTTGAAATAAAAGACTATACTAAACCTATAAAGTGCTCAAATTTAAAACAGGGGTTTGGTGGGATGGGGATCAGACCCTTGGTGTTGGTAACAGAGTCAGCCCCAGAGCAGTTATCCCCGAGATATTGGAACCCCCTTCCAAGATTCCGCATGAAACAGAGCACCTGTTATCACCTTAAAGCCTGGATTGGACTTCTGAACTATAAAGCATTACAAGCAAAAATATTAATTGACATGGTCCTCGATTTTAGCCTGGCTTACTGACTAGCTCTTATAAACAAAATATCTCAACAGCTTGTCCTATATTAGAGCTACTGACAGCACAGATACCTTCAGTGTGGCAGTTTATGGACGTGGACAGAGTAGAATTTGGCAACATGACCAGAGGATAGAAAGAACTTGCAGTCTAAATAAGACTGAATGAGAGCACAAGTTTGTTTCACGCTGTTGACAATGAGAATAGGAGGATTTTGACTGAGCTGATGGATAAAAGCACAACACAAACTTTTAAAAACATTTGCCTCCTCCAGATTATGCTGGTTGGTTAAGGATACATATTCATCTTCATTTGGCACAGATACTGTTTGTTCACTCCACTGGTAACATCTTTTTTTTTTTTGACTTGACGTCACAAAATTGCTACTGTACATAATATCCACATCGGCACTGGCTCAGGTCTGAAAAGCTTCCGTGGTACCCTCGCACTGATGTTTATAAAAGCACATCCTGGTCACACTCAGATCTGGCGGCATGCTTTGGTACACAGAAAAAAGGCCGGACAGTCCAGGTGTGTGGCCCATTGGAAAGCATGCACTATATATTTCCATTTGACTTTCAAAAATTCTTCAGTAATCCTTAGCCCTCCTTTGTCCGAACAGGACAGAATGAGTAACAACAAGCCAGCATAGCAGACTGTACATCTTGTGCATATAACAAAGAACCACAAGATTTTTGTTGTTGTTGTTGTTGTTTTTCACGATGAAGGACACACTTTAAAACAAAACAGTCAAGTTTCTCTATACACACAAAGAAATTGGGCTTTTTTTGTGCTATGATGCATGTTGGTATCTGTCTTATACATTCCTTGGCAGCCTACATACATTGTTGTTTTAATGGAGTGCTCAAATTTCTGTCTCCACCAGTTTAGGCACTATGCTGGATAATGTCAAGGACACCAAGTACGACAAATAAAAACAAAACAACTTGGTTAGCAATTCTTAATTGTTATTCGAAGAAAAGTAACTCTGTCAAGGTTATGTTTGCCTGGAGGAATTAAATTACCTTTAAAAATGTAATTAGTAAAAATTACTATGCTGATGATTGCACATTTGTGACTGAAAGTGGATTGTAAAAGCGTTTTTTTTTTTTTTTTTAACCATCATTTGACATAGAAAAAAATCCCCCAAACTGCGCTTGGTAATGAAAAGAAATCTAGAAAGGTTTGACCCTGAATAAAAAAGCAGTCAGTCTGTTTTTAACCAGGTTAAAAAGGTTGAACAGATTTAACAGCTGGCAGTGACTGATCCAAATTTGTTTTTTTTATATCATCCTGATTTCTCCATACAGGCAAATATATAAACACCCTCACTGACCACAGCTAACTACTTTAGGAAAGGGGTTTAAAACTGAGAGATCTTCTGCCATCCCCTTGGTCTTGCCCATTGAGTGGGTAGCTAGGCTACACATGCTTTCCAGTCTAATACAGCATTAAAATTCTGCTGTCAGTTCAAGTGTTCTGAGTCTTTCCTTTCTTTCTGTCAGTCTAGTGAAGGAGAAGCACCTGTCTCCTACCCTCACAGAAATATCTCGTCATCTTAAACATAATTATATATATATTTCTTGCATTGATCTGCATTGAGCTTTCATTGTTTCAGTGTCTGTCACAATACCTGCAGTCTCTGCCTTTTTAAGAGGCTGTGCATTGAAATGCAGGTCCACTGAGAAATGATGACAATTGAAAAAGACTAAAAAGTAGAAAAAAAAATGAACGCAGTCTGTCTCCCCAGAGTTTAGTGGTCCATCTTTTCTCGGTCGTGGGGAGGGTGGACGAAGCATTGCAACTCCCACAGATGGTATGTTGTGGAATCAGACACAGCTCTCCCTGGTCTTGTTGTCTGTGAGAAAAGAGTTCAGCTGGGAAATGTCCACTACAACAGCGTCCCGCTTGCTCAGATGGACATCTTTCAAGTGGTCCTCGTCACTTTGGTCCTTGGCAAAATTTACAAACACCTGGAAAAGGAGGGCGAAGAAGAGGAAAAACAAATGAGCATGCTTAAATTGAAGTTGGATGTTCATAATGATTGTTTGTAAGTTGGCTTACTTGGTCTAAAGTGGTCTGAGAAACAGAGTAGTCCTCTATGCTGAGAGTCTCTTTGTTCTTTGAGAGCAGGGAGAAGATTCGGGCGAGAGAGGTGAGGGATGAGGGAAGCTGGTACTGGAGCATGTTGCGGTGCTTCTCCTTCAACGTGCTCCCTGGTAGCTCCCTTTCTATGAAGTCCATTACTGGCCTAAGGTCTGGGTCTGGTCCCGCCACCCGTAGGATGATTGTGTAGCCATCTCCAAATCTAACAAGTATATTAAATATATATATACATTCAGTTTTTTTTCCCCTGCTATGGGGCTAAAGACCAGTCTTTCCTTCATATGAATCATTACTGCAGCTAACAGAAATACAGAATCAGGATTGCTGCCATATATAGTCATGAACATAAAATAATACCATCAATCTTGCTAAAAGTGTAAAACGACTTTTTGTGAGCTACAATGTAGTGAGAGGTGATTTTTGTGGTCTCACCTGTTTTTGAGGTGCTGCACGCTGCCCAGACAGCGGAACCTGCCGTTGACCATGATGGCCATCCTGGTGCAAAGAGCTTCACACTCCTCCATACTATTACAAGACACATAAGAAAAATATTCATAAGGGGAAAGAATGTCCAGGTAAACAAACACATGGACCGGAAGGGCCTGTCGAACCTGTGAGAGGTCAGGACTACAGATCGCCCCTCTTTGATGATGCTCAGGATGGCGTTCCAGAGAGCACGACGTGCCTTGGGGTCCATGCCTGTAGTTGGTTCATCCTGCGAACATGTAAGAGCAGGTACTCAGCTGCTGCTACACAATCATATTTACCACACAGTTCACTGACTTTAGGAGCTTTAACATTCAGCAATGCTTTATTATTATTATTATTATTATTATTATTATTATTATTATTATTTTCACTGACCAGAAACACAACAGGTGGTCCTCCTATTAGAGCAATAGCAGTAGACAGTTTCCTCATATTTCCTCCACTGTAGCTGCCAGCTGCCTTGTCCACATACTTCATCAAACCCAGTTTACGGATGCCCCAGTCTGCCACCTAGTGGAGGGTTAGAGTTTTGAGTGTGTTAAACTGTCTTCTGGCTGAAACATGACATCATGGCTGAAAGTGTTATCATTATCAGGTAAATTGTCTAGTTGAAATACAAAATAGAAAAAAAAAAACCCCAAACAAACAACAACACTGCACAAGTAGAATTATAGGTGTAGTTTACGTGTGAAAGGCAAATATGTATCACGTGTGTATGCTTGTTGCTGACCTCACAGACTTCCTTCTCGGGCACTCCTCGCAGGATAGCATAAAACTCGAGATGCTCTCTGCCAGTCAGTAAGTCATTGATAGCATCAAACTGAGGACAGTAGCCCATGTTCTGATGGACTTCATCTATCTCTGTGGTTACACTGCAGTAAGAGAAAATAGATTAAAGTGGGTTTTTTAAGTGATATGAAGAAAGAAAAAGAAACCTGAAATGTAACACCTTTTCATGAATTAAGTAGTGTTGTAATCTACATAGTGTCGTATGATAGGACGTCTTTTCTTGTCTCTCACCTCTTGCCAGCCAGGTAGGCCTCGCCACTTGTTACCACAGAATCTCCTGTCAGCATTTTGAAGGTGCTGGTTTTTCCTGCTCCATTCACCCCCAGCAAACCAAAACACTGCAGGAAAGAGGAAGAATATATTCCACTTAATATTTCACATTCAAAATGCCATCTGCTAATCCTTAACTGAAAAAGAAATTACTCATCCTCATATGTATAAAAGCTAAAAGACAGCAATACCTCTCCAGGAGGGATGCCAACACACAGCCGGTCCACTGCTGGCTTCTGTTTACGCTTGTAAATCTTAGTGAGCTGTCTGAGCTCCAGGATGTCTGACTGTCCTCCACCGCTGAGGATCCGCTGTCGCTCTCTTGCCACATCCTCGTCTTCCTCTCCAATGGGCTTCAGATGACTAGTGGATGACCTGAAAGTTAGGGAGGAAAGGAGTTAAGTCTGAGTGTTGTGATATAGAGAACAAAGTTTAATGCATTTAAAACAGAATAATCACATGTATGTAATAAGTTT